ATCTTTCAGAGAATCTCTGAAATCTTATGTGCCAATTAAACAAGTTAGTAAAGTAAATGGTAGTTTCGACCATATCCATAGAGAGAGAATCATTAAGAAAAAAGAGATACTTTTGATGTCACACTAAGCTCTTTCTTAGTCAACTTTAACACAAATCATACTAAAGTATATGCTTTATAGATTATATATGCATTTGATGATGATTAGCATTAGCTTGGAATTTAAGGAATGTGTTTGATGAAGCAAATTTTGGTATATAAGTAATGTTATTTTATTCCACATTGCATACGCAAAGTTCAAAATGGGGCCGTATCTTCTGCATACAATACTTTTTGGGCCCATAATTTTTGTTTCTCAAAACAAGCCCTTTTTGGATATTGATCAAACAGTGTTAAGATCTTTGTATACTGATCATATTAATTAATTTTGCATTAGCCAAGTACTCCATATTCTTAATTTTCTCTCTCTCTAACAACTTAAATAATATTGCAAGACAAAAAAGCGTGAAATTGATACATAATGCAATAGCCTATTAATTTTGCAATAGCCTACTTTTTCCAAGGAAATCAATAATGCATGCAAGAAATATACGACTATATACTACTTGTTTCGAATTTATTATTATTTGCATAAAATTGATACATTTCTGTAAGTTAAGTAAGAAACTGATATAAAAGCTTCCAAGCGTAATAAAATTAAGTAGATATAATTACAAACGACATGGGGGATTCAAATTGGAAATTTTCATATACTCACAAGTACGACGACTATTTGACCAGTTTCACACTATATCGAGTTTTAACTGAACACGTTTTCAGTTCCTCCGATTTTCATTAATTTTTTTGTGTGTTTAGTAATTAGGGAAATTAGTAAAATTAATTATCAACTAAAGAGGGACTTTATATGAGAATTTAATAACAGCCAATCAAGATTATATTTATAGGGAAATGAAAGAAACTTATACTTTTATTTAATTGAACGTAACAAAGCAAACTTTGAAATTGAAGAATTTGAGGAAACAACAAGACTTTAAACTTACAAACATATGGCTAATTTGCATGCATGAAGCGACCACGAAGTTTATTACAATAACTTTTTATTTTATTATTTTGCAGAAAACATTAACCTGGCATGGGAAACTTTCTCTTTAGGTATCCGTAACAATTCTCTTGTGTCTTTTATTCTAAAACCAAACGATTCTTTGTTTTCTTGACTACCCTCGTCGACTCCTGCAAGGATATATATGAATTAGGCAATTGGAATGTGATTAAAGTGTACCATATTGTATAAGTATGAGAAATGACAATTACCATGAGTAATCTAGTAGTGGTACGTACGGAGGAGGTGGAGATTTGTAAAGGTAGACCAGAGGAGGAGGAGATTGGTAAACCGGTGGAGGAAGTGATTTGTACTCGTAATGCTTCTTAGGTGGTGGAGGAGAGTGGTAGACCGGAGGAGGAGGAGACTTGTAAACCGGAGGAGGAGTGGTAGACCGGAGGAGGAGGAGACTTGTAAACCGGAGGAGGAGAGTAGTGCTTAACCGGTGGGGGAGGAGACTTGTAAATCGGAGGAGGTGAGTAGTACTTAACCGGTGGGGGAGGAGACTTGTAAACCGGAGGAGGAGAGTAAGGCCTAGCCGGTGCTCGTGGATATACGTAAACCGGAGGAGGAGAGTAAGGCCTAGCCGGTGTTGGTGGATATACGTAAACCGGAGGAGGAGAGTAATCTGCAGTGGTTTGAGAAACAGAACCAGGAGAGATTGCTAAGACTAGAAAAGTTGCAACCAAAGAGGCCATTGGTGACCCCATTTTTGTTTGATGCTAGCATCATTATTGATGATTTTTGGTGGGTATCATTAGATATAAAATTATTAAAATTTGAGTAAAAGGAAGAAAGAGAATGTTTTTGGTTGAAATAATGGAGTATATTGAAATATAAAATTAATAAAATTTGAGTAAAAAGAGGAGATGAGTTGATACTTTTGAAGAGAGAGTGTCTTTGTATCAATGGGTTGATACTTTTGGGGAGAGTTTAAACTTTAGTTGGGGTGTGTTTAAATATAAAATTAATAAAAGTTGAATAAAAGGATGAAAGAGAAGGTATAAAGTTGAGTAAAAAGAAGAAAGAATGTGTGTTTTAATAATTTTATATCTAATGATACTCACAAAAGATCATCAATAATGATGGTCTTACTCTCTCCCCTACTAGCCCTTTGTATAGTTTTTCAATTTCACATTTATTTTTACTTTGATCTCTTATAGTAAATGGCATGATTATAGTAAATATGATTGGGATAATATATGAATTTTATAATATTAATTGTATTGGGATTGATG